CCCCAAAACCCCAAAACCCCAAAACCCCTCAATTCCGCATATGCACTGCATTAAAAAGAAGATAAAATAATTCAAATAAAAGCTCAACTTATGATAATATAGTAAAAACCTTCAAGCTTGAACTTGATTGACCCCGCTATAAAGGGCATTATTTATCTTTTGATTTATCACGATTCTTTAATTTTAAGATTAGCCTTTTTAATGACCTTGACTAAATTTATCTTTGATTTGAAATTATTGCTATAAGTGTTGTTTTTATAGTTCTGTGCTTACTTTGCCACCGCTGGTTATAGGCCTCATATCATCTTTTAAAGCTATTTCCTCTTAGCTACTGATCAGATGATTATTTTTAAAGAAAGGCCTGTTTTAAAGAAGAGGTCCTTGAATCTAGCTGCCAAAACTCTGTCTAAACTGGTTATTGCCATTAAGCAGTCTTTTATTATTCAAATGATTTTACTTTATGTTATTAATTGTATTAGTGTTTTACTAAAAACTTAGCAATAGATCTTAAGCTTTATTATTATAACTCACTGCTTTACCCAAACCAATGTGATCACTTAACCTGTTTCGAGAATATGGATTCTTTCCATTTATTTCTATGTTTTCTTAAATAAGCTGAGTCTAAAGTCGCTTGTTATTTAAACTGAGCATCTGCTGCTTTTGTTTTTAAACATAAGGAGATGGTTTATCATAATCTTCAATTATCAAATTATTGTTGTAGTGAATTTGCATTGCAGTTGAGCCTCCAATAAAGTTATTTCTTGTTTTCCTAGTCCCAATTTATGGCTAAATTTTATTGGCACTATTTCCAACTCCAATAACAGTGTTATAGTTATTGTTTTGTCTCAGTTAATTTTACTAGTTATTTCTGTACTAAGAGTCTAAACTTACTTACTTTTTGGAAGTACCTATTTAAACATTCTATCTAATCTATCTCTCTGCTGATTATAAACCTAGTTATTGGACATTATTCTATGCATAAAGTGATTAATTGTCCTATGAAATAGAGTTATTGTCTACAGCTCGTCGATCTAATGAATTATTTTGATAGAATGATCCTGAGGTGGCTTGATTGACACTTTAGTTTCTGCCAGTTGCATAAAACTCAGCAGCCTCAGCACCACTATTTGAATATCTTTTTTAATTTTCTATTTGTTTTTTTAAATCCTAATTTGACCCTGATTACTTGTTATTATTTTATAAATCTACCCTTTGAAGTTCATTATGATTAAATTAGCTTTACTGTTTTCGGTGAAGTATGCTATTATGATTATTAGTTATGAGGAGTTATTGAATCTATTGACCTCTTTAAGATTATTGTTTTTAAGTTTTGTCCCCTATTATGAGTTATTATCTTTTTTCCAGCGATTTACTCCTCAAATCTTAGGTCTAATAATTTCCCTAGCCAATCATATTCATCCCTGAATGGCCTCTAATTCTGAACTCATTCAAAGCAATAATCTGATTATGAACATTAGAGTTATATTGAGCTCTATTTCCTTATGAAATTTGTTAATTGCTTTTTTATCCAAGGCTATCAAGTTACTAATCAGTCTAGTTATCAGCAGCAGCTCTGATTTGTCTTCTTTACAAAGTTAAAACTTAATTATTATTTGAACCACCAGAGTTATGCTAAGGTAGTTTTTGGTTATTTCTAGATTGGTTCTACTAATCCTATTACTTTTGCAGATCAACTTTGCGAGTTAGGTTCTTAAATCTCTATTAATCGGTAATGCCATCATTTAGTTTGCCATTTTTAGGATTTAGTTTTTCAGTAGATCCAATTTAATCTGAAAAGCCCTAAATTGTAGTAACAGAGTCATAAATCCCAAGTTCTTTATCAATTTTGATTCTAAGATCTTTTAGCTTTACAAGCCTTTTGCATAAATCAAAGTATTCAAAGTGAGCTCCTGTATCAGGACATTAGAACTTCCTATTTGGATCATCATTGAAATAGATTCCCTTGAAGTTTTTGAAATCGATATTATCGACATCTGAGTCCTATCCTGCATTTTTATTATCATCTGATTACTCATCTTCATCCTCATCTTCTTCAGACTCATCCTCTTCTATTTAGTATCCATTATTTCTTGCTAATTATTTAAGCTGGTTATCATCTAGATTATTGATATCTATTGGCTGATAATCATGATCATCTAGGATTACTCCTTCTGTGAAAGCTCTTCTATTTACTTCAACTTATGTTGCCATCATGTTATTTTGATTTCTTAAATCCAATAAAATTAATACAAATAACTTAGCTTTCATTCATTCTATTATATATAATTATATTTAAAAAAGCTCTTTTTTTGCAGTTGTTTGGGGTTTTGGGGTTTTGGGGTTTTGGGG